TGCATTTTATCGAATTTTGCCTAAAAAGAATACTTTGCTCCAAAATATTTAAATTTGTTATCAGTTCATCCAAAAATTTTCATTTGCTAGTTTACCCAAATTTGGAGTATTATTTCGACTTCCTATGTTTAACTTGGTCAAATTTTCAATCTTTTTTTTTTTTTTTAGTGGAACTAAAACAAACATTTTATTTAATAATTTTTCACAGAATAATGAAATTGTTCCATTGGAAGAGTTCATCGTATAACATTCATAACGGTCATTAATAACTATAAACATCCAATATTAATAATATTTAATGAGGTCATGAAAAATTTCTCCAATATTATTTCATCTTCTGAACAATAATATTTCGAGATTCTCACCTAATACAAACAGTATGAAGGAAAACAGAAAGAATTATATTGACTGAGGAAACATTTCACCTCTATTTCTAGCTTTTACCAAAACAGCATCATTATTATTAATGGATATTATGTGAAAAATTCTTTTCACTAGCGATAATTTAAATTGACATTGCATTTCGAAATAATTATGGTCGGTGATGAAATCAAACGCACAATATTCAGTCGTATTTTTTCATGTAAAATTTATAATCATTGTGTAAAGAATCCGCGCACGCACGGATTTTTGAATTTCTTTTGAAGATTTGAATGCATGAATTTTTTTTTTTGAGAAGTGATGATTAAGGTAATGATGATTGGGAGATCAAAATATTTAAAATGTCATTAGAATATTTAAAATATTAAAGATGTCATTAGAATATTGGGAAATAAAAAAGCATTAGCTTGTGATGGTTACAAAAGTTTCTTTATTTCAAAATGACATTTAATGTCGGTTGATCAAAAAAAAAAAGATTAAACGGAAACGAACAGTTAATAAGGCAAAGAATAATACGGGGAAAAAGTGAATTTCTTTAACTGTTATTGATTTAAAGCAAATTGTAAGGTGTAGAATTCTAGTTTGACTTCAATTTCAATTCTGACCAATTTGGCCATGTATTTACTTATCTCTCAGTAATTTCTGCTCATTGTTGGCAAACATATAACTGATTGTCAATAATTCTTCGAATTCACCAATTTTGTCTCACTTATATCATTATTTTCGCAACTTTTAATATAAGTGTTATGTTTCTAAGAAATGAACATAATTATAATAAAGAAGTAGAATAAAAAATGATAAAAAAAAAGATCTGAATCATACAAAATGCTTTTGTATGCAAAAATTTTCAATAACAATGCAAAAGCACAACATTAGCTAATTTTTTTAAATGATATCTTAGAGGTTTCCGGTCCTTTTGCTATTTTGGACAATTCTCTCCTGGAAAAGGCATCTTTCCTTCGATAATTTTGCCAATATCTTTGAATGATGCTTGTTGTGACCCACGTTTTGCTGGTTTCGGCATTAACGGGCCGGGACGCCAACCAATAAATGAAACAATCTGGAATGTTGCCGGATATGGAGCATCATCGCGAGAAAACATTGACCTGAAATAATTTCGATTCACACACAAATAAGTAACATTTATAAATAAAGACTTGTACAAAAACAAATATTGTTTGTCACAACTACATTCATATAACATCCTTACCTATAAATAGCATCAGCGGCTATCAGAATATCTCTCCTAATGTGTGTTGATCTATTTCGTAATGCATTTGACTCACCCATACCTTGTAAATCATAAAGCAGAGCAAAGATGCTCGGATAACCGACCTGGAAAAAAAGTGGTACTTTAAAAATTATAGAAAACAAAAGTCAACTTGGAATAAAATGATATGCAATTTCTGATGGAATTTAACAAGCTTAAGTATTCGATAAAACATCGACAATATTATTTACCACTCAGTTTAAATTTATATTATTTTCAATGTCATTAAAAAAAAGTCCATTAATAATCAACTAGTTGTTGACTTTAAAGAGCGAATATTACTGTTACCGTAAGCTCATCGGTGTCTATTGTAATCATTCCAAAACCAGCCTGACTCATCAGTGAACCGATATCATCTGCCCGAACAAATGGTGAAATATGCAAACCAATACCACCCAACCTCTCCATTTCAGCTAACTGTAAAGCTATTCGAAGTTCGTGTAGTGTATCGTTGGCTAGCATAGCGCCAATTAAAGGACAATCAGGACGAAGAATTGATAAACAACGCGAAAACCTAAAATCCTGTAATGAATAACTCGGAGTTCATTGTATTGTATTAAAATTAAAATCTGAATTTTACATCTGAAATCTTTTATAAAATGAGACAAAGAGATAGAAAAATGCATTGAGATACCATAGTTATGTTACTCATAACTCTTTCTTTTTCAGAATATCTGTAGTTATCATTAGAAAAGGATATTTAATTACTTTGAGAAAACTAATTAGGTAGCATATTCTATGAGATAAGTAAACAATAAATGAAAAATATTAAGAGGCGATATTAATATTGTGATATAGTACTAATTATAATACTAATAAGTAATAACGCTGTTTAATATTTTCTTTATCTCAGAAGACTGATAGAACAAATAAACATAAACCATTTAGCGAGATCATTAATCCAATGGGCACTAAGGCTGGACACTATCAAATCAGCTGATTTTTTCCGGAAAGGTGCCATTGATTCGTCTGCAATGATACTCAAAACAGGAACTTCAGAATCGACCACACTTTTACTTTGTCGTATTAGTCCCGCGCTTATATCACATTGAATGATGACACCCACATTTTCCTGTGCATTCATGGACAATTCAACCACTTATCAACCACGCCTTATGTTTATGTCTAATTCCAATCCTCTTCAATCCAAACTGTTCTATTTTATCCAACTTTTCTCGAATTATTTTCTTGATGAATTTCCCATATAAAAAATGAAATTATAAAAATTTATATAATTACATACTAGATAGCAAGCTTTTTGTTAGAAAAATAACTGTGTATCACAGAAAAATGTCTGCAAACTCTTTTTCAGAACGCATATGATACCAACAGATAAATTATTCCAGTAAATTTATGGACAAATAATCTTCATTTGCTAATTTTATCAATCAGCGTCACTTCAGATAGCTTGCATTTAGCGTAACTTATTTCTATTCTCAAATCATAATTTATATCTAGTAAGCTACTGACTAACTTACATCTCAAGAATTTTTTTGGAAAATTATTAAACCTGGACTTTACTGCAAATGATCAGCAAAAAATGGATGATAGATGAATTTAAAATCACCTTAATCAAATTCATCGCAATATGGCCACTACCGCATCCGATATCAATGCAGATATCATTGAATTTGGTCAAGTCGAATACTTTATCTGCTACACGATACGCTATTTCATCCTGAAATATATTCATTACAAATGCCTCAGTAATTTCGGAACTTCAAAAGTGAATTAGAAAAGTTTACTTCATCGAAATTTTGAAAAGTCGAAAACTAATGACAAAGCTTGCCTTGCCTACAGGATAAATTAAGAAATTTGTTACTGCTAAATATAAATGTCCGACATTTTCTTTAATTTGTCAACATCGAAAATTCTTTAATTCAATGAGCATTTAATCCTCATGCCTTTCTTCTTATTGTCCAATTAGATCATGGACAATCTTATACTGCTAACAGCTACAATTCATGCCAACATGACAAAATATCTTCTATCCTATTTCAAAAAGTTAGTGAATATTAAATGAAGATGTAAATTTATTATAATTAATAGTGCAAATTCATAGAAAATGCATATTAGCATAAAAACTATTAATGTTATGGTGTTCATTTCATTGCTTAATCCGATTCATTCATATATTTCCATATGAAATTATATATTTTAGTATTTCATGTTAATCTCAATTAGTAAGGAAAACATACGGCTCCAACAGATTCAAATTTAACTTGCCGACAAAACACTATGCAAAAGAAATTAAGCATTTATACAGAATATTTTTTAAAATGAAATAATCACTGACTTTAACATACTGACAAACATTATAATCATCCAGTTGAGAAGCTCTGTTACGTTGGATTCTCTTTGCTTCGCGATCGAAAATTATGGTACCTTCCGCGGTGGTACATAAGAAATGCTTATCAATTATTTTCTTTTTAAGAAATATCTGACCGAAACACTTCCTTGGATTTATTGGCAAATTATGCAACAAAGGCAAAATTGTACGAGAACAAGAAGGCCAAGATGCCATCCTGAAATTAATCCCATTTCTGAATTATCCACGTTAAAACTTCGTTTTACATATGAGGAGATAAAAGGAGAAAGGAATGTGCTCATTGAGATATTATATTGATTATAATTAAAATCAATCTAACAAAATAAAAAAAATCTTCATAAATGACCGACCTTCCTCTATATTCAAATAAGATATATAGCATAATCATTAAGATAGTATGAGCAATGTTACTTGAAATGATTGATAAAGCTTATTATCTCTATTATATAAAAACAATCTCAAATATCATATAGATATGCCTACTATCCACATTATATTTAGAATTGTGCTGACAGTTTACAACTTATAATTTAAAGATAAGTTATACAATTTGAGCAGAAGTATATCCATTAACACAAACAATACATAGATAAACTTAAATCATTATATGCTTATCCAATCTAATTAATCATTTAATTTTGATATTTCAGAAATATGAATAATAAAAATGAACAGAAAGTCTCTAAGATTGACTATTAAAAAGATGAAATATCAGTTTTATGCATCTAAGCTATATAAAGCATAATAGCTTATTATTATCATGACATGCCCTAGAACATAATAGAGCCTACTTAATACTGTTATTACAATAACAATTTCCAATAATTATGAATGGCATTCCTATTCATCTGCAGAAACATTGCTGCATATTTAAACTAAATAACTCGGTAATTTTAACCTTGCATTTTATTTCCTGTCGCCACACTAATTACGAAATTTGTTCAATTTATCATTGTAGGTGAGGAAAAGTAAAAAGTTAGAAATTTATAGTATTTCCCTCTACTGGTCAATATTATACAGTTTTATCAACTGAGTATTATAAATTCACGGAAACTTTTGTTAGCATTCATTCTTAAGCAAATGCAGTTTATTTAATATCCGAATCATTCCGTCTCCCATTATTTTGATTTTTCTTAAAATTCTACATCTTCCAATCAACTGGTCGCAAAACTATGACAAGACTTTAATATATGCTAATACAGCAAAGCAAGTTTTCATTGCTCAACAAGCTTTTAAATCGAAAAAGAAAACAACAAAAGAAATTCATATAATTTAATGTGTTTTTAGATTATTATCAGTATAACAATCATGTAACAATATGTAAAATATAGCTATATGAAAGCAGTGAAGCATTGCTGAACTTATAATTGTTGAAGGATAGGTATCCCAGCATATCTCGATTCCAACCAGAATACAACATCTAAAAATCCATTACCTTTCACGCTTATATTGATTTTTTAAATACTGTGATCCTCCATGATCTAAGTACAGCGTTCATCTCTAATCATCTGTCGCAGCTAATAATTTATACTTCAGAGCTAGTGAACAAGTCAAGCTTCATTTTTCAGCAGATGTTTTCACCATAATTATGAGCAAATGGAATATATCAAACATCTATAACTTTCCTATTTCGTCCATAGTTAGAGTTTCGGTCTAATGATGCTGGAAATTGCCAGTTAAACGCAAAATTTTGTTAGGGAACGTACCGTAAGACTATCGAAAATGGTGATATAGCACCAGTGGATTTTTGAATTTGAGTCACATTTGATTTAAATCTATAAAGAATTAAACATGAAAATATGCATGGATATATTTTGTTTACGCTAAGAAAAAAGTGTCCCTAATACTTTTATGACAGTGAACTTTTATTGTAACATTACACTCAAATACTAGTAATCAAAATAAAAGATTTAATTTTACCTAGCTGCTACTACGTCCGTCGTGAAGAACCAATCATTGTTGAAAGGTAAACCGACAAACAACAAATAAGGCAGTGTATAAAAATACCAACTATAAAACTGATAATGCAACGATCGAGCAACGCTTATACCAATCAAATTTGCTGTGAACAAAGCTATAAGCATTTCTGAAAATTCACTAATTCAGAAAAAAATCGGAAGTTATCATTACCCAGTAAAACCACAAATATCGAACTGGATAACCGATAAATGTTACCTTATTACACTGCTACAATTTTTTTATTACAGTAATACAGAAATTGAATGATAAGACTTTTTATCTTTTTTAGAATTAAAATAAAATAAAGCAAAAAGAAATATTTACCATTAGTGGTCAAAAATATTCTACCATAGCTTATTATTGAAAACATATGCATATATCCTCCATGTTGTCTGAAACCATTTATTTTCACAATTTTTTACTTTAAGTGACATTTCTGCCAGTTCTTGAAATCTTTCGTTTGCACGGTTTGCACGGCCATAGTTTTTTTTTTTTTTTNGGTTTGCACGGCCATAGTTTTTTTTTTTTAAATGTATGTAGCTATTTTACCTTTTTATATACAATTATTCAAAAACTCAGTCTTCCGCTATATTTATAACATTTCATACTTGCTCAAGTAACGCAGTAATTATAATGTAACTGAAAGTGAGAAAGAACAACTGTACCAACATCAACAAACTTTTTAGAATCCAAAAAAACTTTCGAATAATCTAAGAAATCAATGCTTATTTGGTAAAAATTACAGTTGAATAACACATTACCTAAACCATAAGTATCCAGCAAGGGAAAGCAGAATAATATGAACAACCAATAATAATATGTGAAATCGATTATCTAAAAATATTTCCTCCGACAAAAATCGCCAATTTACTGTCCATTTGAAAAAAAAAACTCTGCCCAAATCGAAAGATCTTTGTAAATATGAGAATGGATCATGCAGTAGAAATGGAAGTGCCACGATAATCTATAAAACTTACATATAACCAAAAAAAAAAATTGGAGCAAAAATTTCCAAATATCGAAATTACTGTTACTACTACCAATATCACAATCATCATGCCTTAGTGGTGTCAACACTTAATTTACTTAGCTTAACTTCGAGACAGCGCATATCTACCTGAATTGCATTTGCGGCCAACCATGATTACGGTTTTCGATGTAAGAACAATAAGTTAAATCGGAATGTTTATATTTTTAAACAGTAAGATCCCTTTTTATAAACATAGAATTAATACCTCCTTTACCCTTAACTTTCACCACCTTCTCAAACATTAATTGCATGAAAGGGGAAAAACTGGGCAAAAAATATACATTACTACTATATGTGTTAAAAAGAAGGTTCACCTGAATGACAGCACATAATACAATTATTTTGAATGTATTCCAATAACCAGTATTCAAAAGAAGGATAAACAAAAGTGCTGGAGAAAACAACAATACATTCATCTTCACTGATACAGCCAAACTGAAAACAGTATTAACCATTTAAATGTAATAACTTGAGTAAAATTTTTATGACTTTTTAAACTTTCAAAACAAAGTTAATTCATAACTAATACGGCAAAAAAAGAACCTGTAAAATATACAGCCAATTAGAAAGTGACGGCTAATCCAAAAATTGACAGCCAGGTAAAAGAAGAACATTGCAACAGGATCATTAAATAATCGAAGAAGATAAATGGAATGAATCCGGTACGAAATACAACACAATATAATTAGCACAAACGGAGGCAACTAAAAAAGGAGAAAAAAATCTTACTTAAGTAATGCTGAAAAAAATTGAAAATTGAAAAT